ATTAAATCTTAAATTCCAAATATTTATTTTCATTTGACATTTTATCGACTATACAGAAACTCTGCAATGGTCTTTCTTCACCTTCAATGAATAGTCCAACTCTGAAACGAGTCTTTCCCAGTTATTCTGACACACATGTGGGCAGTTGGATGATTTCCCCCAGTGGATGAATTTTATCTGCTGTATCCGATTAATTTTGTAGTCCTTACATCTAGTTTCCCGTTTCTTATATATTTGCATGACTGACTTTAAGGATTATTATACCAGGGATCCACCCATATATCATCAACTGAACACACCATGTGGTGTGGACCGAGGCCATCCCATCCCTGACTCATACTGTATTTCATTCAAAGCCTTAGAATGACACCAGAAACATTTAAAATGCTTAGACATGAAAAAACTTGCCTGGAAAGTGATGCTTTTCCGACCTTTCTATAATTCTCTTCACACGAAAACAGAAATAAACAACAACTACTGCTACTTACTGAAAACTGTGCTCAGAATTTTGCAATGGAGTCACTGTATTTTTTAGAGATTTTTGCAGATGAGGCCATTTTAAAAATTATTGCCATCGAGTAATCGATTAAAATGCCACCTCTTTAGTCAGTATTTATGAAACAAATCTTTTTAATTACTTTGATTAAATTTACTTTAGTTGCTTTAAAGTTGTTTCCTTTGAGTTTAACATCCAAATGAATGGAAACTTTACCTGCTTAAAAAAAGCGATTTTTTTTTTTACCTTACCGAATAACTTCCCTTAAAGTTGACCTAATTTAGCATCTCAGTAACGTAAAGTAAAAGCAGCAGAGAAACCAACTCGAACAAAGAGACTGAATATGTCTGTGCCACTGAAAATAAAAATCCCAATGACTGCTGTCAGTCCCGTTGGTTTTGAAGACTGCTCAATGGGCATGTCCCGACATTCCTCCCAACAAACTGCCACTAAAACTCTCACGCTTTAACACTACTTCTCCCAACTGGTGAACAAACTAACAACAACGACGACGACGACCACACAAACAATCTGTGAATACGCTTTAGATCTTACCTGATAAATGTCATGGATATTAAAGTCCTAAAAGTTTCACCAGCACTCTGAGCGTATCTCCACACGAGTTCAGTCCCCACTTGCTCCACCAAGGTAGGCTACGGGACGTCGGACTCCTCCTTCTCTCGCATGAGGTCATCTGTGGGAAGGATCAGCAGCGGAGAACAAACCAGATCTACCCCTCCTTCCTCCTCCTCCGCTTCTTTTCTTCTGCTCTCATTTCTGTGTGCATGCCTCATGGACATGACAGGATGCTAGAGATACAAGCTGCAAGCATTTAGTTTAAGGAGTGTGAAATTCTCTAAAACTTCACATTTTCCTTCTTCCGGATGCTCCCTTTAGAGGTCGCCACGGTGGATCATATGCCTCCATCTCACCCTATCAATGGGGTCCTCTTCTGTCACACCAAACTTTTGCATATCCTCCAGATACACACTTCTCTGAGGTTTTCCTCCTGCCAAGCAGCTCTATCTTCAATATCCTTTGTCTACTATATCCACCATCCCTCCTCTGCACACTTCCAAGCCATCTTAAGCTCTGCCTCTCCAACTTTGTCTTAAAAGTCTTAAAAGCACCTTCTTAAGTCAGCTGGATGCAGGTTTTTCCCATCCTTATAAAGAGTACAGTTGCACAATGCCAAAATTAGCACCACTGCCTAACACTGAGGCCCAAGCTCAGTTTAATGATTGGTTGGAGAAACTTGCAGTCAGTCTGAGACTGAAGAAGCCACTTGAATGGGAGATGAATCCAGAGGAAGTGCATCAGCTGTCTGTGTTTTCTTCCAGAAGCCTTCTGGGAATATATGTAGAAAGAAGAGAACTCTAAAATGAAACTTTAAGGTGTTTAAGTGAAATTAAATCGTGTGATGAAGTTGGAAGTAGTGAATGGACCTCGAACTGAGATTAGTTTTCCACACAAAGGTATTTGTGTTCCAAAATCTGCCCAAGCTCTTTCCACATTGCCAGGAATAAATCTGTTGTAGAATATTGAAGAATCCATTATTTATTTAGGTGGACCAAAAGTTGCAGAACCTAAAATGCTGCAATCAAGCCAAAAGTGTCCAGTCAGATGAAACTTTCCTCGCTGTCCACAACATTTTGCTGAATCACTGTTATTGTGTATAGCTATTGTATTCTTACAAGCTACGCTTTAGACGTCTTCAGGGTGGTCTTTTCGTTTTCGTATAATTGGAAGAAAAGCAATAATTGGATGCTTTGGTCTATACAGTCTTTAACAGTTTCTGACAATTTTATATACTAATATATATATTACTATACTTGTTTCAGATCCTAAATGGAGTTTTACTCTGCACTGATAACTTATTGCAGCTATGTGCTACTTTGCATTTGTCGATTTTACATGTGGACATTAAACTGTCTGTAAAATATATGCATGGCCTCATTAATCCTTCCAAGAACATAAAGAGTAACATGGCACCAGATGGGCTGGCTGCTGCACCAACACACTGCTTTGCATTAATGCTTTCTGGTCATCCTTTTTCAGCAACAATATTCACTCTGGGCACATGTAGGCAATTTAAAATCTCCAAACTTTCATAGTCAGCTGATAGCTAAATACATTAAATTGCCAGTTGTCTTACTGTTTGCAAACTTAGCAAGTATGCTGTGTAATTTCCTCCTCGACGATGTGCATTAGAAGGAGGGAGGTTGAAACGTGAGTCAGAGCTTTTATGTAAATGAAGTCTAATTGGTTTAGGTCTGTATTAGTGGCTGCTGAAAGCAGGATGTTGCTCATTGGCTTTGTGCATACTGCTGAATCACAGTTTGACCATAAACCTGTTGACTTTAACATTTTAATATTACAGCTTGATCGAAATGCTAGTTTTACATAGAGTAATAAATATAAAGTATTTCACGAACTACAGCACACGTGTCATATTAGGTTACTGGATTATTGCAATTAGATCCAGAGTAAGGTTTTCCATACGGTTTGACTCAGTCTGGTGTGGCAAGTGAAGTTCGTAGTGCGCCTTAGTCTGTGGTGACCTCATGAGGTTACATTGTTTTATGCAGCTTGTTCTGAGGGAAAAACATTAATCTCAGCGCAATCTTGCAAAGGTTTTTGTTTTTTTTTTAACACCAATTCGTTAACAGCAAGAATATAAAGCGATATGATGATAATTGTTCTACATTGTGCTGAGGTGACAAGAGTCTGCTGTGAAAAAGGAATGATCAGAAATCTTAGTTTTGGTGGAAAATGGGGTCTTACATAAAAAATCTTTACATTGTGATATTTTCTGCATTTTGCAAAAAAGAAAAATACTTTTTGTGTATTATTATCCTGCAGTTATGATGATATACGGTACTTTGGGAAGGAACATGGACAGTGACACACATTTCTTCCAGTAAAAAAAAGGAAGATAAAACACCTATTTTCCGAGTTTGTCTTTTGTTGTTGTTGTTGATGATGATGCTCTCGGGTGAAACTGGTTCAGCAACTGAATGAGTGAAAGTCTTCAGTGGTTATGAGTTCACAATTCCCTTGGAAACTGCTCTAATGTGCAGATTCCAATAAGACCTGAAAAATAGACTCAGACTTCTTCTCCACTCATCTCGTTGCACTCCCCGTGTTTAAACACCACTGCAGCATGTCATTGAAATGTTGCCTTTTCCCCCCACTAGATTGCGTTAAGTCCCGTCGCCCTCCAACCAGTCACAGCAGATGGCTGCCCCTCCTTGGGCCTGGTTCTGCTGGAGGTTTCTTCCTGTTAAAAATGATTTTTTTTTCCTTTCCACTGTCGCAAAGTGAGTTCACTTGATTGCTGTTTACTCCAGAATATTGTGAGGATTTTGCCTTAGAGGACAAAGCACCAGGTGACTTTTGTGATTTTGCACTATAGAAATAAACCTGCGTGGAACTGAAAATATCCAGCAACAAATACATCAATTAAGTCACTTTGGTATTCTGACATGAATCCACACAAATGTCTGTCATTCTTGTGTGTGCTCAGCATGCAGTACTCTGGCTGAGAGAGATTTCTTTACAGTTTTTATTTTATCCAATCTGTTTCAAACTCCTGTTTGACCATCTGTCTCTTGCAGCTCATCCTGAGGAGCAGAAAGTGGAAAGCAGATTAGTTTGTTTTTCTCCAGCTTTCTCTCTCTCCCCATCTACCTTGTGAAATGTGGCACCTGCAGTTTGAGTTTACTAGCCTGCATTCAAGAGGCATCCCTGAAAATGATTAAAACCCAACAGTCACAGCACCTGTCTGGTTCATATTGCACAGAGGTGACCTGTAGCACAGCCTTGACACTAAAAACAATAACACTTCTGCAATCCCTTTTGACTTTCACTTTCCAGACACGTGGAGTCTTGGTGGTTTCTGCAATTTATCCAACATATTAAAAGAAAGAAAAAAAATCACCACTACGCAGTAGTATTGCCAAATGCATATGGAGATACTGAACCCTGGAGAAGGTTCCAAAAAAAAATGGTCAAGATATAGATCATGGACAGGCTCCGAATGGAATCAGGGGCAAAATGTTGTAAAGCAAAGATCAGCTCCGTGAATCCTACAAGACCAAACTAGCTTTTATGGAAGAGTTTTCTTTTTCCCCTTTCATCCGTCTCACTGTTTAACTATGACTCACTGCACACACATACTGGGATAATTAAAATAGTTTGGCTACATAGAGGGTGGACTTGCTGGAACATTACGATATCACGGTTCAGTCACTATATGAAAGAGGCCAGATGGATAGAAGCAAGCATATATTATAAGTAAATAAGTAAAAAGTAAGTAAATAATTATAAATAAGCATATATATTGCATAGATGCACGCAGCTTAGAGATTGACTTGTGAAATCCATGACCAGATAGTCTGGTTTATTAAAGTTATAAATGGCCATTTGCTGCCCCCTTGTGGCCATTTTAGAGTGAATGAACAGAAAACTGTTCCAAGAAATAAACAGAGACATAACACAGTAATGGCTTGCTGTCCGCTTTTTTTTTTTTTTAATAAATCTAATACAATTGCCATGCAATACAAAGTGAAGATTCCCCTTAAAAGCACCCTTATAAAACTCAGTAACTTAACCCCTCCCTTCAAACATACTCATACCCACCAAATGCTTTTGTTTTCCAATCTGATGACAAATACAAATATAGAATTCTATTATTATGCCAGAAAAGATGCATGAAGTGCTGGTTTATAGTATTCACATACAAGCTTGGCCCCAAAGAGCTTTTTTTTTTTTTTTCTTCTTCCTTCTAAGTAAACGAAGCTTGAAAGCTTTCACTCCATCAACACTTTACAGGCAACCTGTCAGTCTCAGTCTCCTCACGTGTCTAACACTTCACATTGGTGTTTAACGGCTGACTTAACATGGTTCCCTCTAGGGCATGCCCGAAAAAGTTCAATACTTCCTCGGCTGCTGGATGAAAACGATCCGAGGGGAGTGCGACTTCTCCACCGCGGGGCGCACCTTACTGTGCCTCACGCTCACAGGTGTTTCTGGGAAGTCGTGGCTCAGCTGCAAAACATCAGGAAGGAGGTTTATTATCCACAATACTTTGAAGCACTGCAACTAACCCAGTTGGCTCGGAAAGGAATTAACTCGCTTTTTTAAGAGTTAATGCTTTGTTTACCTTGTCGAGGGTTCCTGTTAGAAGTATGCCAACTTGTTGCATCCTGTTGGGGGTGGCAAGGGATCTGCTGCACAGGTTTTAAAACAGAGTTATACTCAGCTTTTAAAGCAAAGTTAGTGACCTATATGATCGAAATGCTGCTGGGCATTCTTACACACTAATGTTTGAAGCTAAATTTGTTTTCAGCTCAAGCACATTTACTGCAGAGTGTGAGCATACCTGATTTTATCAGACTTCCTGGTGTCCTTTTCTGGAGTTGCATGGGTGGCATTTTCTTCCATGCCTTTCTTGGCCACCCTTTTACCACCGGCCTTTACTAGTGATGCAAAAGAGGAAAGAAACAAAAAACAATCTGTGTCAAAGCAGTGTTTTACAGTGCATTTCATGCAACTGAGACAGAGGAGTGGAAAGTAAAAACCACAAAGGTTTTCAACTCTTTTCTCTCACTTTGTGCACTTGCAGTTCAAGCTTATGAACACTAGCATTCATTCAAAAAGTAGTCACTTCCCTGTCCGCTTCATCGTGCAGAGGTGACCTATAATCCTAAAAACTATCAAACACTCTGTACTTTCTTAAAACCTGGACACATGATAGTTTCTGCAGTCTGTCCCTCATAATATGAAATAAAATTAATGTGCCATGGCGTCCAAAAAAAACAAACAAACCCAAAACATATATAGTAATGGTGCAAAAGTTCGTACAAACGAAATTATCACAATATTTTGCTTGTCAGATCGTCTTCGTAAACAGATGAGTGACACCGCTTCAAGCTGCAGCTGTTAATGCAAAGTTAACTACTGTTCCGCAGCTTTGCACGAATAGCACTGCACGGTGCACCTAACAGGCCTCCCTTCAAACAAAAGCATGCCGATGACGCTTCTTGCACTTTAGTACTCCAATGCCACAGCAGCCAGTCAGCTCCAGCTGTCGCACTTTTTCATACTGCGTGTCGAATTAACGGCAAAAGTTACGTTACTGCAGCGGGGTCGACTCGCTCTGAACGACTGTGTAACTGGGTCAAGGAATGGAAAAACAACAACAACAACAACTCTCAAGCTTTAATAAAGTTTTAAAAGATAAATAAAAAAAGAGCAGGCAGCTATCAGAGAGACACGGCTTACCTGCCGGAGGGTGGCCAGCTTTCAGCCGAGCAGCCTCCTTCGCTCCAGATTTGGGGAGTTGTTGCACCATTTCTTAAAAACTTTCCGCAGTGAAAGCACCAAACTGTCCTCGACGCCCACTCCGCTGTTTTTATTCTCTACAACAGAGATGACGTCCCGCGAGGCTACAGGAAGTTTGCGGCCAGCGAAACGCCTCTTTGTTTTCTTTTTTTCAACTTCTTTTTTCTTTTTCTCTACCCGCTGATAGTTTACCGAGAAAATGAAACTGTACACTAACCGTTTGCGGTTTGCAGCACGATTCAACTGCAGCTGATTTATGTTACTGTTACTTGATCTTATTTTGAAAATCTTTTCACAAAACTTCAAGATTGGCAACAAAAAGAGTTTTAACCACACTTAAACTATTTCTAGGTATGACAGCCCACAGACACAAACCCCCAGAGGAAGTTTTCGATTGCACGAATATTTTCAGTGAAGAAGAAAATAACACTGTGTCATTTTAAGGCAGATATTTTTTCATCGCATTAGACTCTTTTATCCAGCATGAGGATCCAAAGTAAACAGCGATAGTGCCACCATGTTTAAAGCTGAAGCACAGAAAGGACTGTCAGATCTTTGCATGTGTATCTAACTGAGGTCAGTTGTGGAGGGGAGATGAGACTTGAAAGTTTATTGTTGACACACTAATGTTTCTTTATGTTTAATGGAGAAGGTAAGACTGACTAGAGGTAAGGTGTGTCATCCCAACAAGCAGAAAAGTGACAGAAACACACTGGAAAGTATACTTGATTGGATATTAAATACACATGTTAGAGCAAATAGTTACCTGCACGGTGTTTTGAGCTGAGCCGTTGTCCATTGTAATGTCTGCTGTGATACACGTCACAGGTTACAGGTAATACAGATCAGTCTATTCATAACCTGAATGATCTGTGCCTTTAATTCCAGGTTCTTCGAATCTGTGACTTTGCTAAGTTCTGTGACTGTACAGCAGTTTCCTTGAATATACAGGTTTGAAGCTTCACAGCTTGCATATGCATGAACTATGGGGGCATTAATGCTGAAAAATGCGTGTTGTTGCCTTCCCGGGTATGCACAAGCTGCAGGCTAACTGTCAGCTGGCTTGTGTTAATTTAACTGAAATGTTGGTAATGTGCAGCACAGTGCCAAGCTGCTTGAAACGCGTGGGCCTTAAGGTGGACCAGCTTTGTTTTGTTCTGAGAAAGAAAAAAAAAGTTCGAGACTTCATTATTTTTCAGTTTTAGTATATTTTCTTGCTTATATTTTGTGCATAGAAAAGGGTGCCCTAACACATTCTTACCAATTACAAGGAGACTGTTTTTTGCAGTTCTGCTGCATGTTTTATTTTTTGCCATCTAAATATAACAAAGGTTGCTGCTGTGTTGGTTAATGTAAGTTATATTTATAGCTGTTGTTTTGTTTCTTAACTCCTACCTTTATTCTGTGTGCCAAAAGGCTCCAGAAGAAGGAAAAGCTGCTGATGTGCTTAGTTTCCTTTTCCTGTTTGTGCAGTTGGCAAGCTGCAGTTTATTGTATTTTAACTTGAATCTTCTTTAGTTTTAGTTTAATTTGAACGGTGGCTGCGCTTTTGGTCGGGTCTGGCTTTTTCTTCCTTTCTTGACAGTATTTTTTTCTCGTTTGTGCTCAAAGTGGTTTTTTGGTGCATAAAATAAAGTCTAAATACTAAGAAATGAACAAAAAACAAAAAACCCTTACAGGCACAACTGGAAAAACATAATTCTTCCTCACCCCAGCTGAACCCCATCGCAGTTATAGTATTACTGTACCTTTTAGTTATCAGAACCTTCACCGTAGATGAAACAAGGAAAACAATAAAGTAGATCATATCGAGAAGTACAAAACCAACAAAATCAGTTCCAATAGTTAAGTATACAACATACCAAGAATAAAATGCATGTACTATGTAGTGCAAAATTGCAGTATCAATGCATTCATTCTTAAAAAATAATTGTCATATAGCATCACATTTCTTAGCACACTTTCTTGCATAAAGCAAACTTTCTTTAAATAATGTATAAGTGTATTAAAAAAGACTGGAGGTAAATTTTCCTTTTGTTTAGGAAGTCATTTAGCTAAACTCATATTTAATTTGCCTGGCAGCTAGCATGTAGGCGCTATCTTGAGGGAGGTCTCTCATTACTGCACTTAATAGTTTTGTGGATATTTCTGCAGTGTATGAAACTTAAATATTGTTTTAGACTAATGTAAAGATCTGCCTCGTTTGTTGGCTGATGATGTGACTTGTCATTTATGGGTTCAACATGTAGTCCTAAACCTATTTAGCCTCCTAAGCAGTTTATGCTATATAGCTAGTTCTCTAAACTTAAGCTGGTTCTTCAAGTGTTCCTCCCATGAGTTTAAAAAGGAATAAAGTATCCCGAGAGACCTGAGATTAAGTTTCCGAGTGGAATTCAAAAGAGAGTTTAGGGAAAATAGTGCTTTAGCATTACTCCATCAATCGATATGAAAGTGTGATGAGGTTGTTGGGTTTTTTTTGCAGCACATCAGACTCTGGATCTGCATTTATTGTTATAAAAAGCTGACTTCTTAATTAGATATAGATCAATATAGATCAAGACTGAGTGAAAAGTGTTCATATGAACTGTATTCAGATCTTTAAATAATGCTTCACAATGATATTTGGACCTGTTTATAGGCTGAGATCGGGTGGGGAGTTTAAGCAGATCAGATTAGTTCTCCATCTCTAGGGGCTGTGCCATGAAATCCCTGTCAATAATGCTCATATAACATTAGCAGCTTAAAAAAAAAGGCCTTAAAGTTATGGGAGACAGTCCTGGCTCGTAGCTGTGCTCTTACATGCATTTAAAAGCAGATTGCACATTGACTTCACCTGTATTTATTCTTCCTCCTGATAAATTCAGTAAGCTCTAACATTCTGAATTTTGTTTCAGAAGAAACTGCAGTGAGGGGAAAATTGGGTGTATGAAGTCATATGTGACCCAGATTATTAGGTACTTTAATTTGCGTGCACTTACTTTGAGGGGTAATGAATTAAATGAAATCAGGGGCTGGGATAATCTCACTGCTTTGTAAATTAAGTCCATTTCGCAATATTTTGGCAAAGCAGTTTAGCAGACTAAGGCTCCTGGGACTACGCTGGGAAAACTGGATGCAAGTGTCTTTTGTAGGCCGAAGCCAATTAATGGTCGGTATAAACGTATGTATTCCCTTAATGCCAGCTTTACTATAAGCAGCACAGTCCATAGAGTTGCAACTACTTAAGCAAGAAAAAGGCCCGTCTCATGTGGAAGTGTAGCTGGTTTCTGAAAGTGGAGGCTGGTGGAGAAGAGGAATATGAGTAAAAATCTAATTCTTTGATGATCTGAAAAAGAGAGATAACCCCACTCCAACCCATCAAATACCTTCTGGGCATGAAACAACATTAATTATGAGATCTAAAGGATTTTAAATTGCTTTTGTATGCAAATAAAAAAAAAGATGAATACAGATGAACTTGAACATCTTAGTTTGTCTACAAGTATATAAAGCTGTTCAGTCTGGTGATTATAACACGCTGTGTTGGTGTTCTTTTAAAAAACTAAGTTTACCAAACTTTCAGCAGTGTGTTTATTCAAATCATTTTAGGCCTAAAGAGCAACTGTATTTCATCTTTTAAGTAGTACTGGCCCCAATCCACAGGAAATTGAACCCTGTCAGTATTCCAGCTCCATATTTTTTTAATTATTATTGACCCATTATTGAGTCACAATTCAAAAACAATTTTTGCTGATCTCATATTGAGGCTCGGTGCCTTGGAAAATTTTATTTACATCAAGTTAACAAGAGACGATTAGTTTATCCCAATCCATTTTTAAAAAAAAAATAGTGTACGTATATTGGATGGGAAGGAGTACATGTCTCTAATATTGTCAGGTTTTTACTTATATTTTACACTGATACATGGCCCACAGTAGCATATTTTAATTTCCTGACACAGTGAATAACTGCTGCTATCCTTCTGTCACAAATCATCCCTGACCCTCGTCACCATTTTGCAGAGTTTGTAGCGTGACAGAAAATCATCCTGGAATCTTTCATCTTAAATACATTTGCACCACACGTCGCTCATATTCAGCATCGATATTTGAAAAACATTTTAAAACAAGGTTTTTTTTCTCCGTCCCAAGAGCACGGTTTGTCAGTCGAGGTGTAAGCGCAGAGTCCGCTACCGATCAGTGTTGGTTGCTGTGCTCCAGGGTGCCACGCGGCTTTTATAAAACACAGGTGGTTTAAGGCTCACTACTCATGTCTGTGCAAATACATAAAATATGCTTCCCAGGCAGGATAGAGGATATTACAACCAGAGCAGAAAGGGTTTGATCTATTCATTCACTCTCTTTGCACACGTGGACAAAATGTCAGTAAACTGGAGATGCAAAGAAACTCTCACACAGTTTAAAAAACAAAACTTGACCTTTTATTACATTGTCGTTGTTGTGTTATGATGCCATCTTTGTCCACATATTTCTTTGTATATTTATATATCTTTAGAGACCTAACATGGCACAAGTTTCTTTTAGTTTTTTTGTTTTTTCCAACCAGTGCTGTTGAGTGTAAACCAGGTAACATGTTTTTTTTCTGTATTTACAATAAAACGAAAAATGTACAAGACTCCATGGCATTACACAGGTTCAACATTAAGTACAGATATAATTTGATCCCTCTGTACAAGCTAACATCATTAGTTAACCATTTTTCATTTGATTATTTTTTTATTTATTTATTTATTTTTTGATTCATTTTTTAAACAGATATGAGTTCATGATCCATTTTGGCTTCGGCACATACATATTCCTCCAGTCTCGACTCTTACCGCGGACCTTCGTTTACATGACTCACACCTTTCACCATGCTATCACAGCTAACAGTTTCGAAAAGAAAAATTAACCTAACATCTAGACAGAGTAGGACGCATGTCTCCTCACTGTAGTGTCCCAATATCTGCTCTCAACAGACTCACAGCATGATTCCATCTTTCTCATCTAAATAAAAAATAATTAGAAAAAAAAAAGACATTCCTTGATTTCCTTCTTTGGCTCACATCCCATCTTTCCATCTGTTATCACTCAGTTGAACTCTCCTCCATACACACACATCCACAAAACAAACATGTATGAAGCCAAGTTCATGAAAAAAAAGTAAGTTTGTCATTTCCTGTGTGTTCCTCGCCTCTGCTGCAGGGTGAAGACGCACCCCAGTTACAAACCGAAGTGATGGTGAAACGGTAGCACCTCCAGACCTATACCCAGGAGTCTGGAGAGCCGGGGTACTGCTCTGCCCTGAACGAAGGCGTCCGTGTGGTAGCGTAATAGTCCACGTAGTTACAGGTAGATTTCAGTCCATGAGGCTGAGAGCTGAAGGTGGGAGGGTAAGTGATGACCTCCTCCAAATACGAGTCGTCGTAGCCATGTGGGTGCTGCAGGTACATTCTGTATGTATCGTAGTTTCTCCTGCTCGGCTCATCTGAATAATACAGAGGCTGCAAGGAACGAGAGGCAAGTATCAAGAGTCAGTTCGGAAAACTTGAGTTTTACAACAGTCGTTACGTTAAAGATTCAAACTTAAACTCAAAAGAAAATAAAGGTAGCAAATTAAGCCTTTGCTGTCCCCTTTCCCCTGCCAGCATGTAAAGTAAATTAAATTAGCTCCACTTTAGCCAATTACATCCCAACGCTTTGTGAGATGTAATGCATAATTATTATTAAAATGTCCAATCATTTCACATGCAACATTTACAGGAGGTCATTTCTCTGCGCCACACGTTTTCAAAAATCCTTTAACCTTTACTTAATTAGGCAGTTTTCACTGATGTTTGCAGCCTTGGCCGTGCAGCACTTATTTCAAAGTATTATTCAGATTTCATTCTAAGTTTTAATGATAGTTCTCGTGTAGCTTAATTTCAGT